CGACACAAACTAGGTCATTTCGGGACTAACACGTTTTTAAAAAATTTTATTTCAATAATTCGCTCGCGCGTAGGGGTCTTTAGCAGTGGGAGGAAACCGGAGGACCCGGAGAAAACCAACGAGGTTGGACAGGCGACCCTACTCCTTGCCACGTACAACCGGGGATTCGAAACCACGCCAGTTAACTCAATGACAGACTTTATGGTACAGCGCGCACGTGCTAACCATTCAGCCACCGAACCCCCCATGTAGGAGAACAACTTTAGCTCGTATATGGTGTCATCACGTGACATTCAATTTGAGGCATATATGCGTTTGCACATTCAATTTCGATTGTATCTTAGTTTAAGTTTTCGTGAATAAGGGCCCTGCAATAGTCATATTTAGCTCTTAATGAAGTTTACGCCAACAGCGCCGTGTGCCTAATCGTGATATCAACCAAATTTGAAACAGAATAAATAGACTCATTGATTTCAGTCACATTCACTTGGCAGTAAAGAAATAAATAATTGATGTAAAAAAACACAAATGACGTGTATTAGATATAATGAAATATTGACAGGTTTGAATTCATCTGTGTTCGACTAATGCTAGACATCATTGGTTATTTATCACGAGATACAAATCAGACTGATTTTTATGTGAACAATACTAAAGTTAGTAGATATATGGTTTAGTTATTGAGGGCAATTAATCTCTCAATTATATGGATTTAAAAATGTAGATATTGTCATGGGTTACCACTCAACCTACCACTTAGATGTTTCAGAACTAAAATACACTTTTTTCGTCTTCCTTAGCAATTTGAATCTAGAGTATTTCAGCAATGCAAGAACAATATTTCTTCAATTCTTAAATACCGGCAAAATTGGAAACAATTGAAATAAGAATGAAATGAAAGGGGGTTTAACGTCCTACTGTTCTGCCCCCACTGGGCTAATGAAGACGGACATACGCCATCCAGTGTGCTATGAGGGAAAACTTGCCCTGACAGCGGGACTACGGCCTACTCTTATATCGAATTCCAATTGCCAAGCGATATTTTACGTCCCACCCGAACAACTAGACAGATGTACCTGTTAAGCCCTTGTATCCTCATTTTTATAGGTTCTATTCTTTTTTCATTTTTTTCCATTTCTTTTTGCGAGATTAATTGAAAGTCGACTTCATTATTAATTAAATTTAATTTCTTGCTTAAGGTGCATTATGTAAGAGCCAAATCTATCTATTGCAGGTCTTTTGTCTGACTTGAAATATAAATTATTATTAAGACATGTATTCACATGAATACGACAAGTCTCAAATACTCTCGAGACCATCGAATGGACGAGATATAAATATAAGTGGATTTGGTGACCCGTGAGATTTAAAAATTTAACGAGAAAATGGATAATCGAGACTCTACGATACTTCAAACAGTCATAACTTCGCCCAGAATAAAGTAATTTCAATGAAATTTTCAATATACCCATTGCAGGTCTTTTTTCCTGGCTTCAAATCTTATAAAAATTATTATTGAGATAAGTATTCACGTGACAGGTCTAAAATACTCTTTTGGGACTTACATAATATATAGTTCAATTTTATGTCAGTAATTTATTTGGGTCTTTAGCTGCGGGAGGGGGGGGGGGGTCGGGGGCCCTACAGAAAACTCATGAGGTTAAACCCAACAGACAATGTGACAAACAAAATACACATATAACAAAAAAAAACGTCACTGAAAAAACTCCTGTGTTGGATCTCAACACAAGGACTTGTGTTAAAAATATTCTACACAAGCTTGTGTTGTTTTACATTGCAATAACACAAGTTTGTGTTCTTTTCAATGTCTTAACACAAACTTGTGTAGATTTATAAAATCTTGTGGGTTTTTTTCTTATAATTAACTACGTCGACATTTAAGATAACATTTATTATGTTACTTTATCACATTATAAGTATTCACGTGACAGGCCTAAAATACTCTTTTGGGACTTACATAATATATAGTTCAATTTTATGTCAGTAATTTATTTGGGTCTTTAGCTGCGGGGGGGGGGGGGGATCGGGGGCCCTACAGAAAACTCATGAGGTTAAACCCAACAGACAATGTGACAAACAAATTACACATATAACAAAAAAAAAACATCACTGAAAAAACTCCTGTGTTGGATCTCAACACAAGGACTTGTGTTAAAAATATTCTACACAAGCTTGTGTTGTTTTACATTGCAATAACACAAGTTTGTGTTCTTTTCAATGTCTTAACACAAACTTGTGTAGATTTATAAAATCTTGTGGGTTTTTTTTCTTATAGTTAACTACGTCGACATTTAAGTTAACATTTATTATGTTACTTTATCACATTATGATTTTTATTTATTGAGAATATCTGAATGAGATTGTGGAACTGGATTAGGGATCTGGCTTAGCCTATATGTAAAACCACTCTTTCTGAATTTGAATGTCGAGTAATTCACTTGATTTTTTTTTAAATATTTATAATTATCTAAAACCATATATAAATTATTACAAACATAAGGTAGAAATCGCCATGTATGTATCGTGCGATAATTTAATACCTCTTTTAAAACAACGTATTTTATAACAGTATACTGATATAAAGAGATCGAAGTTTTAGTCAATTATTATCTAATTATAAACTATTCAATTAATTAGAGATAATAAAAGATTATTCTGATTTTACTCTTTGTTTATTTTCACATCTTGTCTCAGACAATATACAGAGACAGGTTATTACAATGTCTGCATTTGGAAGTGTCTGATTGATATCGCCCCAAATTTATTGCAGTATTTTGCGATATTAAACCCTATGGTACTGCAAAAGTTAACTATATTATTAAGCAGTGTGGTAATTCCTTCCTGGATTAGTATCGATTATTTACATAGTGATATTGTGAAAAAAGTGTGTTCAGAAAATAAGAATATTTTTGTATTTTCTAATACAGTGTATTTATAACGCAAATCTTTCGTTTCGGTTAAAACAAAATATACGCCCATTTTAATTTGCCGAAGGACGTGTGACTATTAGCAATATGGCGGGCGGACAAACTGACCAAACAGTATATTTCGAGGTATTTGAGGTAAGCTAATTCAATATCATATCATAACTGCATGTGCATAATTGTGTTTCTGTGTGAATATTCAAAAAAATCATTCTTAGGATACAGCCTCGACACCAGTCCTGGATTGCAAGGTTTGTTTTGTGTTCTGGGCGCCATTTTGAAAAACAGGCATGACCTATATTCATGTAGATTTTCAGATTGCAGTAGATTTTAGAAATACAATCCAGCGATAGCGCTGTCTAATACCTTTAAAAGGAAATCTGAATTCGTGCAAAGACCAACAAGCCAACAGTGAGGCTGATGTCCCCCGTCAAAATTCCAAAATAAAAAGATGACACATATTAATTAATTGCACATTTATTTTTTTCAAAAGTATCGAGCAATCAAACCTTACACCCAGTTTTACCAATCTCTATCAGATAGAATCAAGATTATCTTGTCCCAAACCATCGACAAATGAAATCGATTAGCTCTGCTTATCGTCAGCTCGAAATGTAAATCATTGAACTAAGTCAAGACATTCACTTAATGAACATCTACATGAAGTTTAAACATTCACCTAATGAACATCTACACGAAGTTTAAACATTCACCTAATAGACACCTACACCAAGTTTGAACATTCTACCTCAATTAGAAGGAGAGTTATTGTGTTCCAAAGTCTCAACCAATCAAATTGCTTATCACTCTGATTACCCTCAGCAAAAAATGTTCATTATCGAACTTAGTCAAGGTATTGATGTAATAAAGCTATACACCAAGTGTCCTCACTCTCACTTAATTAGAACTAAAGTTATCATGTCCCAAAGGATCAACCAATCAAATTGCTTATCTCTGCTTACCCTAAGCAGAAAATTCTCATCTTCGAACTCCATCAAGGCATTCACCTAATAGACACCTACGCCAAGTGTGAACATTCTAACTCAATTAGAATGAGAGGTACTGTGTTCCAAAGTCTCGGCCAATCAAATTGCTTATCACTCTGCCTCCCCTAAGCAGAAAATGCTCATCATCGAACTTAGTCAGGGTATTGATGTAATGAAACTATACACCAATTTTCATCACTCTCACTTAATTAGAACTAAAGTTATCTGCTTACCCTAAGCAGAAAATGCTCATCTTCGAACTCCATCAAGGCATTGACTTAATAAACACCTACACCAAGTTTGAATATTCTGGCTCAATTAGAAGAGTTATTGTGTTCCAAAGTATCAAATTACTTATCTCTGCTTACCCTATGCCGAAAATGCTCATCTTCAAACTCCACCAAGGCCTTGACTTAATAAACACCCACACCAAGTTTGAACATTCTGGCTCAATTAGAAGAGTTATTGTGTTCCAAAGTCTCGGCCAATCAAACTGCTTATCGCTCTGCATACCCTGAGCAGAAAATACTCATTATCGAACTTAGTCGAGGTATTGATGTAATGAAACTATACACCAAGTTTCATCACTCTCACTTAATTAGAACTAAAGTTATCGTGTCCCAAAGTATCGACCAAACAAATTGCTTATCTCTGCTTACCCTAAGCAGAAAATGCTCATCTTCGAACTCCATCAAGGCATTGACCTAATAAACACCTACACCAAGTTTGAATATTCTAGCTCAATTAGAAAGAGAGTTATTGTGTCCCAAAAAGTGTGACGGACGGACAGACAGACAGACGAACCCATTTTAATAGTCCCCTGCTTTCTTCGAAAGGCGGGGGACAACAATAAAATCCAGGTGAATTGGGAAAAATATTCATGTATTTTCTTTATGAAGAGTAGCTATTTCAATGTGTAACTGCCCAGTTGTCTTAGACAAATAATAATCCAAACTTCAAATCAGCTATATTCATGATTTGTTGTATTTATTCAAATCATACCACCTAGAATTGTATTTATCCAATTGCATAATAATAAAACTTAACTTTTAATATTTTATTTCTTCAGGCCAAGAACATGGAGAATTGGTAATTGCCTTGTATAGTTGTATCACTGCAAACTATAATGCACAGGGAGTCTTGAGCAGAAATAATAATAAAAGGTAAGACTTTTTAAATATCTACATGTATATTACACTTAATAGGTTTAATCTGGTCATCAGATATGTTACTGTGTACAGACTGTACAAAACACATTTATACACTTGCTATTAGGTTATTTTGCGCACAGAGAATCGGGTTTGTAATCATCAGAAACAAATGTAAACTTCAAATGATAATAGGTTTTTGGATATTTGCTTGGTGTGGTTCAATGTGAAACTTGGTAATGCATGTAATTTGAGTTTGAAAGGGGAGTAAGTAATAATGCTGCCTGACTAAATTACTCTCCCCTCTTGCATTCGCATGTACCCATACATATGAGTCTCAAAATAATATCTATTGTTAAATTATGCTCTTTTCACCCCGCCCCACGACTCATTATGTTATTTTACTTTTATTCTGCCATCTAAATAACTCTGTACCCGTGACTGGTATGTCAAGTAAAAACCAAATCGAAACCCAATTTGTCTATAAATGTATTTATAACCATCACTTTATACTTTTCAGAGACTTGAACATCCTTGGAGAGGAACATGTATTTAGTAAATATTAATACTAAAGAAAGAAAGCAACTCTAAATTCTGAATATAAAGCCATCAAATTCTTTTATAGATCTTATTGTGGAAACCCAAAAGTTATTTGTCACCATTGCCCTTTTTTTAATGTCAAATACCAAACCATCTCTAAAATTAATATTGTTTCATTATATAGACTGCAGTGTAATCCTAAACACTAAGAATTTGACCTGAAAACTTGAACTATTAATGAGGGATTATATTAATTAATAGTAACAGTCGATAATTATAAAAATGTATTATTGTAGGATGAAATCAACCTTTATTTTTAAACATTTAGTGAACATTTCGAATGTTAATGCCTATTTTATATGAGATGGTTTTATTCATCAATTTTTGGTTTTACAAATTTTTAAAAAATTCTCCATTTTATTTGATTTTTATGCTATATTTATTTTATCTATCTATAATTATTTGTCCTGTACCTAATCTATTAGTTCCCTTTTATGTACTGTAGAAATTTTAAATTCCTAATCTGTTAAAGGGAATATTTCTTCTTAAAATAATTTCAATTTAGTGCATAATTAATTCCAAATAATTGGTAGTGGGTGTGGGGGGGGGGGTATTTTTTCATTGTATAACACAATTATATTAGTATTTCAATTAACTTTGGTTATTAACCCTCGAGATGTCTGTTTAGTATTAATTTGGCATTAATTTAATTTTTCATATCATGTATTGAATAAATAATAAGTGTTATGTCATGTATCAAACATTACAGTTTAAACAGAACAAATGGAAGGGGTTGCATGGGAAAGGCTGTTATACTGGATATAAATTGGTAAAATACAACAAGTTTGTATGAAACAAAACAAGTTTCAGAAATTTCAACACAAGTTTCAGAAATTTCAACACAAGTTTCAGAAATTTCAACACAAGTTTCAGAAATTTTATCACCAGTAATGTGTAGATTTTTACACAAGTTTCAACACATGTTTGTGTTGTTTGATAAATTTTAACACAAGTTTTGTGTTGTTTCAACATTGAAAAAAAGTTTGTGTTGTTAAATAGAGACACCTAACTTGTGTTGAAGTTTGTGTTGTTTCAACACAATATGTTTTCTTTTCAGTGTAATCAAGGGAATGGATCCGGGGGTCATTAATGTCCATTAAAATTCTTCACTGACTTCATATGTCATCTTTTTGACTTAAGCAGTTGAAGTAAATACCAATTCTGCAATCTTTTTTGGGGCAAGGCAGTCTATTCTTCAGCAATGTTTTATTATACACGATGTACTTTTAATCACATCGAGTATAATAAAAGTAATTAAAATTACTTAAAACACGTTTATACATTAAATTATGGTGGCTGAAAGCGTCCATTTAGATCGGCGGGTTTCTAGATACAACGCGAGAGTCGCCGTTAAGCCAGCACGACGAAAAAGGCGCCGATCGGTGACTTTTTCGTCGTACTAGCTTAACGGCGACCCGCGACTTTCACAACACGAGAGTCGCCGTTAAGCCACGCGACGAAAAAGTCGCCGAAAAAATCGGCGCCTTTTTGTCGCTCTGGCTTAACGGCGACTCTCGCCTCGGAAGTTTATAGTTAGTTACATGCGCAATGGCTACATTTTACGCACACAGATCACCAAATATTTTTACACCGTCACCCACCAATGTAGGGCGAAAGTTATTTTTAGTCTTTCTCTCTCCCCCCCCCCCCCTTTTGCATGGCAATTTTTGGTGTAGAATCGAAGAAAGGGGTTTGAAAATACATTTTCTGCCAGGTTTTGGTGAATATTCATGATTTTGAGAGGTCGGTTAGGTTGAAATGTAGGGCCGAAAATTGCATGTATAGTTGTCTCTACTTCCAGCTTGTGTATTTCAAGTTTTTCATGGTGAACCTCATACATGCTTTTGCACATGTTGCTCCATCTGTGGCAGAAAGCGTTCTACCCAACGAAAATTTGGGAAAAAGTTAGAGTCGGTCTAAGATACGAGAATTAACATTAAATCAATGGGGAAATATTTAGTGATATAAAGACGTGTACATTTTAAATCTAATTCCAGTGTAACACTCATAAATTTTAATTTGCCCTAGTGTCACTAAAAATGTTGATATAGCTCGTCGCGTGGCTTAACGGCGACTCTCGTGTTGTGAAAGTCGCGTGTCGCCGTTAAGCTAGTACGACGAAAAAGGCGCCGTCGTGCTGGCTTAACGGCGACTCTCGCGTTTTATCTAGAAACCCGCCGATCTAAATGGACGCTTTAAGCCACCATATTAAAATATTAAATAGTAAATAATTTTTACTTTTGAGATAATGATGAACGATGTAGCTTGTTCTACTCCAGTATCCTAGATGAAACACAGGTTGGATGAGTCACGGTATCAAATAAGTTCTGCTTTAGACGAAAACATTTGATCAATAAACGACATAAATGTGCATCGAGATTGCTGCAACCTGTCGTATTCCATTGTACGAAGATGAGATAGGTATTGCCTTATTTCTGTTCCTTCTAATACCACTGCACTCATTTCTACGCATATTGAAATAAACGACATAAATGTGCATTGAGATTGCTGCAAGCTGTCGTATTCCATTGTACGAAGATGAGATCTACACCATAGGTATGTTATTATTGTCAAATAGGCTACCCACAAAATACCCCCAACCGTACTTTGTTCTTCAGCTTAGATAAATATAGATCAGGAAAATGTTAATGATATCTAACCCAGAATAGTACATTCGCCATTGTTGCATACTAGTACAATATCATTACTAAACCATTATATATCTAACCATGATTTTTCTCCCATTTTTTTCTACTCTTAAATCCATTTAACTCTTATATCGAACGATGACACTCGGCTTTATATAGATCCGGTAAAATAATCTATGACGAGTTTTTTTCCAGCCATGTTTAATGAACTAATGATTTTTTCTTTTCAGATTTTGACGAAATACGAAGGCGTTACACCACTTAAAGACGACACGACATCGATGACGTTAGTTTCAATACAAAGCGTTTCGATCGCTTTCGAAGATGCCTCAAGGGGAAATTCACGTATAAAGAGCATGGGTGATGCTATGGATAGTGTTGAAATGTTTTGTAAATACATACTCAGTTTTCAATCAGCTGCCTTTCTGAACAAGGTAAACTCAAAACCAAGAGCTATTCAGTTTCCGCCTTACATACCAATAAGATCTCTCAGCCAACGGAAACTATAATTCGATACGTTTTCGGCTATTAATAAACCCTTTTGGCCCGAGGTGGCTTTAAGGGTTACTGTTTATACTTCAATAAAGAAGAGCCAAACGATTCTCACGTGAAAGTGGAGACTCAAAATCGGCATTATTTTGAATTTAATAAATTCCAGAAATTGAAATACCATTACTCTTTAATAAACAAATAAGGAATCTGATATTTCTTATATATTGTGTGAATGCAAAACCCTTCAAGAAAGTGGCCTTTGATAATTCCAATTCCATGGCTGCTGCATTTGGAAAAGGTAATTTAATTCTTTTTAATGCTCATAGCACCGACTGAATTGCGAAACTAATTTCGGCATGTCAAGAAATATTTTTATTTTTATAGTATTTGATATGACCTTTTCTTCTTACATCATCCGAAAAGAAGGGTTTATTCCCAATGCGAATCAAAAGTTGACCTCGCATCCTCCACCTTATTTGCTGCAATGTCATTCTGGCTGTGGTAATTAACCTTACCGATAACGACGTGCCTTAAAGCTCGTGATGGTAGAATAGAAGATCAAGTGTTGAAACAGAGTCTGCCGCTAGTCAAACTCAGCTTATTAACAACTGTCAGTATAACTTAATAATGTGCCTAACCTTTCTGGTGGCTAGGATCGGATTATTTATTATACCATGCACTCATCTCCGAAACCGTACAGTGTTATACGAAAATGAGATTACAACATGCTTTTGAAGACAAAACTAACGCCATTTCCAACAGACATAAAATGCATAAAGCGGTTTTTTGTATCCTTTTCCCCATTGACTTCAGAAATATACATTATACAAGGACAAACCGAAATCCTATTTAAGGACATCAATTGAATGAAATGTTCGCACACAAAAGTTTTCAATAGTATCTTGTGTTAGAAACGTTGACAAAAATAGATAATCAAACACTAAGCTCTTCGATATACGTTGATAACCGGAGATAATAGTTCTTTTCCGACTTCAAATCCGGACAGCTTGCCTAATTCGGAGAGAGAGAGAGAGAGAAATGGCGTTTAACGTCCACTCGACACAAACTAGGTCATTTCGGGACTAACATGGTTTAATTTTATTTCAATAATTCGCTTGCGCATATGGGTCTTTAGCAGTGGGAGGAAACCGGAGGACCCGGAGAAAACCCACGAGGTTGGACAGGCGACCCTACTCCTTGTCACGTACAACCAAGGATTCGAAACCACGCCAGTCGACTCAATGACAGACTTTATGATACAGCGCGCGCACGCTAACCATTCAGCCATCCACCCCCCCTGCCTAATTCGGAGCTATTAATTTTGAATGTTAAACTTTTGGAACGACAGGTGTTGTTTAGTAGATTATTAGTAAATATATATGGTAGTATCACTGCTTTGCAATACCTTGGAACCTCTGGATTTCAGCAACTCGTGTTAGAAGAGTATGTGCTTTTCTCTTAAATTTAGACAAAACATATTTCCATAGCCTCTACATCTTATGCGAAGACGACACGACCCCAATGTTCACTTTTCGAAAGGTTTTCGACTCAAGGTTTACTTTCGGGAAGGGGATTTCAAACTACTTGAAAATGTATACTCTATATGTCAATCGCGTGTATCCACCATTATAATATATACTAAATCGACCAAGTGAAAACAATTGATCTAGTTTGAGGGATTCATTAAAAATTTGAGTAATTCTTCAATTTTAAAAAGTTAATAGCTTTCGGCTAAATCAGAGAAAGCCATGAAGTATATTCTGGTACTATAAGCAAGGTATTGATGTCACTAGTTGACATTTTCAAACATCAAAACTATTTATTCTTCTCCTTGGAAGTTAATTCACTTTCGAAACGACACACTGTCTACTATTACTTGTATTTATAGAGTCAGTAAGTACATAAA